ATTTTCATTCTTCTACAGGTTGACATCCAGTTATGCCAGCACCATTTGTTGAAGATGCTTTCTTTCTTCCATTGTATACTTTTGGCTCCTTTATCAAAAATTAGGTGTTCATAGGTTTGTGGGTTAAAATCCGGGTCTTCTATATGATTCCATTGTTCAACTTCTCTGTTTTTATGCCAATACCACACTGTTTTCATCACTGTAGCTCTGTAATAGAGTTTGAAGTCAGGGATGGTAATGCCTCCAGACAATCCTTTATTGTATAGGATTGTTTTGGCTATCCTGGGTTTTTTGTTTTTCCATATAAAGTTGATTATTGTCCTCTCAAGATCTGTGAAGAATTTTGATGGGACCTTGATGGGGATTGCATTGAATCTATAAATTGCCTTTGGTAGAATTGCCATTTTTACTATGTTGATCCTCCCAATCCAAGAGCAAGGGAGGTCCTTCCATTTTCTGGTATACTCCTCAGTTTCTTTCTTCAATGCCTTAAAGTTCTTGTCAAATAGATCTTTCACTTCCTTGGTTAGAGTTACCCCAAGATATTTTATGCTCTTTGTGGCTATCGTGAAAGGTGAAGCTTCTCTGATTTCCCTCTCTGCTTCCATATCCTTTGTGTATAAGAGGGCAACTGATTTTTTGGAGTTGATCTTGTATCCTGCCACATTACTAAAGGTGTTTATCAGCTGTAAGAATAAATAAACATGGATAGAAACATGGATAGATTTCTTAACCCTCAGACTTTAGCCCCCTTCATTTATTGTAGAGTCGTTTTTTAAAATCCTGAGAGAGAGCCCTAGAAGCTGGACCTTTAGGGTTCCCGTTAGTTAAACAAATGCAGCATAAACACATTTTTACATAGCGAAAGTAATATTCTACAAAAAGGCCCTTTTTGGTAACCAGGTAACCTTCCTCAGTTTGAACTAGCATCTCTAGCTTGCACCACTTCAACCACAGAGGAACTTGATCCTAGCCAGAATCTTTTCATCCGCCAGGGACTCTTAAGCTGTACGTGTTAGAGAGTTTTATGTCAACTTGACACAAGCTATTGTCATGAGAGGAAGGACCTTGACTGAGAAAATGCCTTCAAAAGATCTGGCTGTATCTATTAGAACAGGGCCTGCAGAATCAACAGAGCAGGGCTCAGAGAGGATCACAGAGACAGAAGCCACAGTCGCGGATCCTATAGGGGTCTGAGTTAGACCCTCTGCATGTACCTTGTGGTCATGTAGCTTGGTGTTCTTGTGGGACTCCTAAGAGTGGGAATAGGGGCTATCTCGGACTCTTTGCCTGCACTCGGGACCCTTTTCCTCCTTCTGTGTTGCCTCATCCAGCCCTGATATGAGAGTTTGTGCCTAGTCTTATTGTAATTTGTAATGCCATGTTCTGTTGATATCCCTGGGAGACCTCCTCTTTTTTAAAGGGGAAATGAAAAGGGAGTGTATTTGGGGAGAGGAAGGGGTGGTCGGATGGGGGAAACTACAGTCAGGATATAGTGTATGAGAGAAGAATAAAATAATCGGGCTGTAGGCAAGTCTGTAGAACATTTTCGTAATTAGTGATTGATGGTGGAAGGCCCAGCCCATTGTGAGTGGTGCCATCCCTAGCTAGGTTAGTGGTCCTGGGTTCTTAAGAAAGCAGGCTGAGCAAGTCAGAGGGAACAAGTCAGGATGCAGCTCCCCTCCATGGCCTCTGCATCTGCTCCTGCCTCCAGGTTCCTGTCCTGTTTGATTTGAGGTCCTGCCTTGGCTTCTCTCAAACCCTTTGCTCCCAAGTTGTTTGATTGTGGTGTTTGAGCACAGCTCTGCTTATCCTAAGACACCATCTGCTCCTGCCTTCAAGTAAGCTTCCTGGTCCTATCCAAGTTCCCTTTCCTACCTTGTGCCTTCTCTGTACCAATAGGCAGGCCATTCACCTGTTGGGCCCCTTCTGCAGACCTTTTCTTCTTTAACAGTTGGGGTCAGCTTCCCTGTCCTTGGGCTCCTAATTAAACTAGGCATCCTTCCATTGTCCAGCCTTTCACTAAGCCAGCCCTCTCCCCTCACCCTATGATCCCTTTCCCAGCTAAGGCCTCCCTTCCTTCCCCTGCCCAGAGCTATGTCCCTCTCTCCCATATCCAGCTGGGTCCCTTTCCCTCGCCTATCATTTCTTACCAATGACCTTCGCCTTTGTTTTGCTACTCCTATACCCTAGCTCCTCTGCCCACCTGAGCCTGCTTCCTTATATACAGTCCAGATGAAGACAGGCTCTTTTCTCCCTCCATAACCTTTCACAGGATAGTGGCTTCTCCAGTCTGTGTCCCTTGCTAAACAAACTAGGACTCCTTCTTACCCCAGGTCTAATTCTCCAACCTGGACCCCAGATGCCTTTATCCCCTTCTTGGGCTATCTTCCTCTCCTCAACACTGTTTTCCCCACGTTGTGTCCCTGGATCAGCCTGAACCAACCTTTCAAGCTGTATGGTGCCTGCCAGAATCCTTTATCTAGTACCCCTCCCTTCCGAGTTGATTGGTTACTTAGCCAACGCCTCTTTCCCTAGGAAGGCCTCATCTCATTCCGGAACCCCTTCCTCAGAAAGTGTCCTGCCCCTAGCCTAACCGGATCATTTCCCATCAAAAACCATGGGCTGGGGCTCACTTGTCATCTGCTACACCCATCCAACCTGGCCTCTTCAGTGACTTGGTCAATTTCCAGCCCTTTCCTCCGCCCACAGCTGGGAAGCTCAGTTTCTAGACTTATTATCCAAACAGTCCCACCTTTTCCAGGACCCCTTCCCTAGAATATGGTTTAGTTTCCAGTCAGCTTCCCTTCCCAAACCTGGCCCCCGTCCCATCTTTTTCTTTCCCTGTATAACTCACCCCAACTGACTCACCTCTCCTACCAAGAATCCTCCACCAGCCAGTGTCTGTGTCTGTGACCTGTAGCCAGGCCTCCTTGCCCATCACGGTGTGCTGCCTCCAGTCAGTCAGGGCCACTGTCCATCAATATGCCGCTGTTTTAGCCAAACAGACCCCCCTCCCCTGCTCCTGCTCTACATAGCCCACACCACAAGGCACCCTTTTCGTTTCTATAGCCCTTCAGTAGCCCTCACTCACATCCTTAGGCAGGCCCCTTCCCTAGAGCCTGTCCTTGCGGTCTAGTCTACCCAAGCATCTTTAAAACAAAACAAAACGAAACAAACACACTCAAAAAACCTCTTGATGGCCTGCTTCTTATCTTGCCCACCTATTCAGCTTTAACTGCAGCCTCTGAAGGCTTTCCCTAGGCTGTCTCTGTGCTCAGCCTTCACCCTCCTGCCCAGCCAGGCCTTCCTCTGTAGATAACATCTCTTTTCAAGCACATTTTTTTTGCTTCCCCTCCAAAGCTTGGCCCCTCTTCCTCCCTAACTCCCAAATCCAGTGTCCCTGTCCTATAATGGGCTCTTTTCCCATAATGTACCCAATACTGTGGGGTTTTTTTTCAGACACTGACTAGCTGAAACTTCTTGTTTCCATAGCTAGAGCTGTCTGTCAGGATTTCCCCATTTGGATTTTGGAAACATCCAGAAGTAGATTATAGTAGCATTTCTTCCCCTCCTGCAACATAGCCTGGCCTGGCTGAGGGCTCTTTATCAAGCAGCAGAGACTACTAAAGGAAGCCCTTTCTTGTTTCACCGAGTGAAACATCAGTCTAGGGCATCCTTAGAGTAAATTCCTCCCAAATTCCAGCCTGGGAAACACTGCTGCCACCAAGGCTGCAGGTGTATTACCCAAAGCCTCATCTGTCCCCTCCCACCCCCAACCGGCTCCTAGTCTTAGGAGTCCTTTACTGAAGGCCATCTGGGTTACAAACTTCAGACACAAGAAATGCAAAGCAAGTATTTCAAATGCTGTTTTTATCTTTTAACACATTGCACAACTGGTTTTAAACATTTTTGAACCGACATGTATTATTTGGGAACATTTGGAAGGGACGAAGGTTCTTCAAAATGAATTTAAGTAACTTCACTGAAATCCAGGACCTTATGACTAACCTTAGAAATTACACAAATCATTCCATTCCGTTCCATTCTTCTTTTGGCATATTCAGGATATCAACTCATCCTTAACAAACACAGAGCTGGATTGTTCACTGTTTTCTTTTACATAAAACTCATCAACTACCGTAGAACTTCCAAAAATTGCTTTAATTTTTTTTTCCTCTTAAGGAAAGTCACTAAGTTCAGATCTTCCACATCTTTGAGGTAACCCTTACTTGTTCTACTGGCTCATTTAAACTGAATTTCTGTATCTAACAGTTACGCTTAGCTTTTAAATTTGAAAACATATTTTTTAAGAGCTCAGAAAACATTGAGCAACTAAAATCCTTTTGCAGCTTTACAAGTTTGAATGAAAAACAAAACAATCAAATTACTACTGGAAGACTTGCTCGTAACCCAGGCATTGGAACGTCGGTTAAAAGCAAAGCAAACGGCCAGCTGTGGCTTTTTTTTCTGAAAAAAAAAAAACAATGAAAAACACTCATAAACCACTCCAGCCACACAAACTCCTCTTATCAAGTGATTTGATAGATACATAAGGAAAAAATCCCCAAACCCGAACCTTTCTGCTAAACTCATTCACGCCCGGGTAAACAATAAGCAAAGTCCAACATTTCCATTTTCAGCTTACCATTAATTGAAGCCTGAAGAAGACAAAAGTACCTCAGGGCCAAATGAAGTTAGACTCAATGAAACCTAAGTCTCTTGGTTGTCCCGAGGAGGGATTCTTCCGTCCTTAAGCCTGCCCCCCAAAGAAGACACACATAACTTAGTCGGAAAACAAACAACCAAAATGAGGCAGGATTGGAAGGGACGAATTTCAATATTTAAGTAAACCTTGGAAGAAAATAAACCAGCCAAGGAAAAAGCAACTGTTCCTACTGAGAAATGCCATAGCTGTTTCAGCTTTCCCAGGATCTGCAGGTGTCAAGCATGGCAGAAATATGGCGCTTAGAGCCGAGGTCCGTGGCTGCTGGAAACTTTTAGAACAGGCGCGGTGCCATGGCAGCAGCGGAGGTGCCCGCGGCCTCGATGGGCTTCACTGAGTTGTAGTGCTCCCCGAACTCACAGGCGTAGTGCAGATAGACCAGTGTGATCGGCTTCCGGGTGTACTCCTCCCCGATCACAATGATGGGCGAGTTGGCCTGTATCACCTCGATGGGGGTCTGCAGGACATGCGACATGGCTCTCAATTCCAGCTGGCCACCCCACAATGACCTGTGCACGATGTCATCGCAGTACCTCAGGAAGTCCTCACGGGTGTAGAAGTTGCCGGCCTCGGGTTCGGTGAAGAAAGGTAAGAAGTCATCAATGTGTTTCTTCATATAGTAGGCCGTGCGGTAGCGCAGGCTCTCCACAGTCACCGAGAACACCAGCTGGTCTTGGATGGCACGGTACATGCAATGGCCGTCGGCAGGGATGGGCTTCATCTCCAGACTTCTAGCTGCCAAAATGGCAGCGACCTTTTCTTCCTCCTCGCGGCGGTAGGCGGCCTGCTCTTCGCTCTGGGCCACTGGGATCCTCTGCGGGCGTTGTCTCTGCAGGTTAGCTCTTCGCTCACGCCTTTTCTGGGCCTTCGATGGGCGTGGGGGCACATTTTCAAGGTTCATCTTTTTGAGGTTGGCTGCAATCGACTCCACGCTGGCGTCAGGCTCTTCTTGAAATCTCTCCAGTTCCTGACGGTGCCTCTGCTCCATCTCGGCCCTGAGACGGGCAGTATCAGCAAGCACCTGCTTTCTTCTGTTCCTGTCATTTTTTGGGACAGAACTTTCGAGGGCCTGGATGTGAGCTTGCAGCTCTCTTTTTTCGCGATAATGGCGGCGGATCACCCGTTGGAATTCGGTCTCGGGGTCATCCATTATCGCAGTGGAAGGCGAGAATTGAAGTTGGAAGGAAACTGGAACAGTTCAAATCACCAGAGCGCCTCACAGAACCGCTGCCCGAGGGACCAGACCGCCTCACAGAACCGCTGTCCGAGGAAGCTGTGGCACTCTGCCTCCTTCTGAGGCTGTTCCCAGCATCCTAGTAACGGCCCTCCGTGCTATTGGCTGCTGCCTCAGGGCCACGCCCCCAGACACGCCTGGGCTTTGTGACTGGCTTTTGAGGGCCCTTAAGTCTGTTCTCAGTAGACCCCCTAGCACCTCACGCCTCTGGTTTTTTAAACCGACTTTAAAAGCCGCTCCTAGGAGCCTGCCTTTATACAATTTGTGCGATAATTGGGCTTGTAGAATTTTTAGTCACTCTTACTGCCTACTGCTTTTCCAAGTTTGGACAGAACACAGGCACAGGCCATGCTTGATAACCACACGATAAATATTATCAGTTAAATACGTTCTGACCTGAACTTGGCATTTCTCTTTGTGTCCAGGAAGCAGTGCGGCGTTCTCCGGTTTTTCAGGTCTCTTGACCTGAAACTCTTAATCTTCGTGTATCAGAACAAAGACACTTCCTTGCATTTCTGGGAACACAGAGTCTTTTTAATTTATGTTTCAAACCTGATGAGTCCCATCTCAGGGCAAGACGACAGCAACTGCCCTCTTCAGAGGCACGCACTACAAGTAAGTGGATCTCTTGGCTTGTGCTAACAGAAATCATCCAAACACCCCTTCTTCTGAGTCCCCGTCTCCCTACAAGGGCTCTCTAGAATAAATCTCCAGGAAGCATCATGAGCCAGTGTTCATCAGGTTACTTCTTCTTGATTGCTTTCAAAATGTTTGTTTCAAAAGATTGCTGCAAAAGGTCTGTGAGGAAAAAATAACCCACAAACCCCTTTCAAATATGCTTTTATTGTATGATAATCAGTATTTTTGTCTTTACAGTTCCCAACCTGCCGGTTAGATGCTACCCCATTCTTCACTTGAGAGCCAGGTTTGTTAAAGCAAGCCTGTAACCCTAGCCCTTGTGAGGTGGAGGCGGGAGAACTAAACCTTCCAAGGTCATCCAGGGAGATGTATAAAGTTCCAGGCCAGCCTGGAGTATGTTGAGACCCTGTCTCAGAAAATTCCGAACCAACCACCCAGAACAGACACTTCCACAGAGGTATGTTCTCCACCAAACACACAGGCTTTTGTGTGAACGTAAGTCCTCATGTCTCTGGACAAAATGCCCAGGAATGAAATTGCTTGTGCTGTATTCTCAGTTCACATTCTTTTTAAAGAGAGTGTTTTCCAGAAAGACTGTAGCTGATTCGTTTACACGAGAGGTGAATGAGGCATCCAGTTTCTTTGTCTTCTTACCAGCATTTTGGTATTGTCACCTTTAAAATGCGTACACTGATGTTAGTCTCGTGATAATCTCACTATGGCTTTAATGGGCTCGCATCTAATGACTGTTTCTGGTACTGCAGATGGAAACCCTTATATATGTAGATGAAAAGTCTTTCACATGTTAGGAAAGGGCCGTACCTTCGTGGTCATCTTTTACATTTGTTTAGTTGTTGTTGTTGCTGCTGCTGGTGGTGGTAGTGGTGGTTGTGGGGTGTGTGTGTTTGTGTGTGTGTGTGTGTGTGTGTGTGTGATGTCTGTGCATGGACGTGCATATGCCATTGTGAATGTGTAGAAGTCAGAGAACAATTTCGTGGAGTTGTTTTTCTCTTTTGTTGTGGGCTCTGGGGACTGGATTCAGGCCATTTCATGCTTACAAGGCATGCATTTTTACCCACTGAGATATCTTGCTTGATGTTCATCTTGTAATGTCCTCGTTTTCACCTATCACTTATATTTCTTGATAAAATGTTTTTATAATTTGCATATTTTCTAAATGGGTTGCCCTTTTTTTCCTGTTAGTTTTGAGAGTTGTTATATTCTAAATGCCAGCCCTTTGTCAGATGTGTGTTTTGCAAATTGTTTTCTCTTAGTCTACAGCTTGTCTTCTTTTTCTTAGCAGGGTCTTTCTCAAAGCAAAAACATTTAATTTTAAGGCCAGTTTTGTGTCTCGGTGGTAGCACTTGTGAGTACTCGTGTTGGATTCCTAGTACCACTGAAGGATTTTAACCATCCTGATTTTTCAGATGGGAACCTCAAACTCATAATCCTTTGCCTTATGCTCTCAAGTGCTGCGGTTGCAGATGTAAGCCATCATATTTGCAACATTTTTATTTTGGATTAAGTACAACCAACCAGTTTTCCTTATATGATCTTATTTTTAGTGTCAAGTATAAAGAACTCTTTGTCTAGCCCTAAACTCAAAGGTAGTATCCTTTTTTAAACTATGAAGAAAAAAAATTTAAAACTTACATTTATTTAGTGCGTGTGTACTTGCACACATGTCATTGTGCACACATGGTAGTCAGAAGGTAACTGTGGGAGTCAGTTCTCTCTTTTTAACCATATAGGTCCAGGTTAGCAGAGTTGTTGCAGGCTCCTTTACCCACTGAGACAGTCCTCTCAATCTCTCTATCCATATCTCTATCTATCTATCTATCTATCTATCTATCTATCTATCTATCTATCGTCTATCTATCCAACATCTATCCAGCATCTATCTATCTATCTATCTATCTATCTATCTATCTATCTATCATCTATCATCTATCTATCGTCTATCTATCCAACATCTATCCAGCATCTATCTATCTATCTATCTATCTATCTTCTCTCATATATTACATCCTGACCTCAGTTTCCTCTTCTCCCACTCCTCAAAGCCACCTCCCACCTCCCCTCTCCCCCAGATCCATTGCTTCTCCTTTTTCCTTTCGAAAAGGGCAGAGGTCCCAGGGATATCAATCACACATTGTAACACAGGTTACAATAAGACTATTTACCTACCCTAATATTAAGGAGGAAAGGGATCCTAAGAGCAGGCAAAAGAGTCAGAGACAGTCACACTCCCACTGTTCGGAGTCCCACAAAAACCAAATTCCACACATACATAAACAATATTTTACTGTATGTAATCCCCAGTTGTTTATTTTTGTTTCCATTGCCTCTGTGCCAGTGTGTGTGTGTGTGTGTGTTAACCACAAAATCACCACAAAGGACAATGTCGTGAAACTTTATTGTTTTTAGGAGTTTTACAGTTAAGGTCTTATATTAAATATTTATCCTGTTTTGAATTGCTATTTGTTTTTGGAATAAGATGATGGATAAATTCCTTTGCCTCACATGCAGATATTCAGTGCCCCTAGCATTTGCTCAGTGTCACGTCTTTCCCATGCCGTGTACTTTGGGTACCCTTGTGGGGTTTCAGTTGGGCTCTGTGTCTGGAGGTTTACTCCAGACCTTTATAAGAATAACAAAATTATAAAGTCATTTAACAGAATGTGAAAAGTATTTGTAAAGTATATGTGTGTTGAAGAATTAGTATCTGGTGAAGACTACAGGTCTAGCTGAGTGATAAGATACTTTGTTAAAAATCCACAAGGCCTTGGACTTGGTCCTCAACATGTACACAAACACATGTATACATATACACAGAAAGACACTCACATGTATATTTATATAGTTCATATTTATTTTTCTATAACACAATGGCACCAAAAATCATGACTTTATTTTTGTGTGTAAAGAGCCCAAAGACACTTTTTTTTTCCCAAAAAAAGCATGCAGATAACAAAAGTTCCATGTAAAGTGCTCAATTGTGGAGGAAACAAATTAAAATCCCACTGTAGTACCATAGTACACCTACTAAGATGTCTATTATCAATAATAGAAAATCGTAAATGTGGAGGATATTAAGAAAACAGAGCTCATACAAATCATTGGAAAGAATGCAAATTAGTGCATTCAGTACAGGGAACAGACGGAGTTTCTTCAGTGAAAAAAAAATCAAGTTGGAGTAGCTCAGCCATACTGTTGGAGCACATGTATAGATAGTGTTTGAACACATTTACAGGTCCCTGCATTTAACCACCAGCACTCAAAAAAAAAAAAACCACTCTGAGATTAGGTAAATTTGTCTTTTTATTTAACTGAGAGACTTACAACTTCAGAGTTTAAACTTAAACCACTGTAGAGGGTGTTTCAAGACAGGGTTTCTCTGTGTGTAACAACCCTGGCTATCCCGGAACTTGCTTTGTAGACCAGGCTGGTCTCATACTAATAGAATTTCCCCTGCCTCTGCCTCCCAAGTCCTGGGATTAAAAGTGCACACCACCACTGCCTGGCATGGTGATGTGTTTTGACTTTGTTTTTTTACTTTGTTTTAAGTTTTGAAGCTTAGACCTTAGGTTTTTGTGTCGGTTTGATTTTAGGATGACATAGGATGTCCTTCTGTTAAGTGTTGCTTTTATTGGTTAATGAATAAAGTTGCTTCGGCCTATGGCATGGCAGAATATAGTCAGGCTGGAAGAGATATGATGTGGGAGTGATTTCTTTCTGATCTGTTGCTTTCATTGGTTAATTAATAAAGAAACTGCCTAGGCCCATTTGATAGGCCAACCCGTAGGTGGGTGGAGTAAACAGAACAGAATGCTGGGAGAAAGAAAGCTGAGTGAAGAGTCGCCATGGTTCTCCCACTCCAGACAGATGCAGGTTAAGATCTTTCCTGGTAAGCGCACCTCATGGTGCTACATAGATTATTAAAAATGGGTTAAGAGGCTAAAACTAATGGGCCAGGCAATGTTTAAAAGAATGTAGTTTCTGTGTAATTATTTCGGGTAAAACTAGCCGTGCGGGCGGCCGGGTGCTGGGAAAGTCGCCTGCCGCTCATACTACAACAGAGATATATCTAGAGAGAGTAGGCTGAGTCAGAGAGATGTCGTGTAGCTGTTGAAGAAGACAGACGCTGAAACTTTACTAGTAAGCCCCAGCCTTGTCTTGACACACAGAATAATAGAAATGGGTTAATTTAAGATGTAAGAGTCAACTAGGAATATGCTAGAGTCTTTGACTAAGCGGTGCTGTAATTAGTATAGTTT